GGGCATCGTGCTGCCACACGCTGACTTTCAAATCAGGACCAACCACTGATCAGAAAATCAAAATGACTCATCCTTATTTAAAAAACAACATATGACATTCCTTACTGTTCTGAGAGAGATAGCCTCAGTGCACTTAAATGTAAATTATTCAATCCCTGGTGTAATCACAGCACGGTAATTTGATGCAGTGTTTTTATGATAACACTTTTTACGATCTTCCTCGCGGACTAAAATATATTGTGTACTTATTTCTCAGTGATTTCCAATTTCTCTTCCTCTGCTATATTCTCAGGGGCTTTCCCTCTGTCATTTTTCATCACAGTAATTTGTCTCCTTCTTTTTTGGGGAAATACTACAGTGAAATGAATCGCTGCCACAGAGTCCAAAGCTCCGGCCAAAATACCTACAGTATCTTTTGTCCTCATCTGTCGCTCTCATTCTTTCACCATGGTGGAATCTCCTCTGTTGTAATTGCCCGGATGAGTGATGGATTGTTTCTGTCAGTGTCTGCCTGATAGCTCATCTATACACACACACTGACACGCAAACAATCCCAGTCACAACACGTATGTGAGCTCACAGAATGTGCAAACCTTCCCACAGGGACATATGCTGCACTTACACACCTCTGTGGGAAGTTGCTGCAGGTGACAATGAGGGAGCTCACCACTTCCTGGTCTCTCTCCCCAGGCTAGAGGCCATCATATGAGAGTGAGATCCATATCCATACAAATGTCTTAGTATCTCTACTAAGATACGATTGCACAGATCGTATATTACTTTTTATAACATACATATATGTATGCTTCTAAGAATAAAAACAACGGTTATATTTGCACAAGAGAACATTAGGTTTTGTTTGGTAACTACAGACTTGGAAGTCAATTGGTGAACCTCAACCTGTCCTCAAGATTATGTCCCAGAATCAAACCTGACAGACACACATTGTCGTTGTCGACCGTTTTGATTTGATTATTCTGAAGCCTCTCATGCCTCAGATTTGATGGTTTTATCCACTTACTTGGAGATGTATATGTATTTATACTTGCATGAAGTGTAGCAGTATTAGGAGGCTATATCAAGAAGAGGAAGGAAGAAGACATTTCAATTTTGACATTTAAGGATTTTTTCTCTGAAACCCTATATTAATAGAAAAAGACATTCGATGGACAGTTGGAGTTTACAGTCAGTTTGTTGCTAATCTTTACCTCAAACTTTCCCTAGCTCTTCCTGATGTATCCACTCCCCCTCCCCTCTTCTCTGCAGTTATCTCGTCCTTTCAGGATTCTTTCTTTTCTTTACTAATCTCTTTGAGGGAAACAGGATAGACTGTACAGTTTTTTTTACCTCTCCATGCCTTCATTTATATACCTTCCTTCCATCTATACTACTATCCCTTTATTATTCCTCATATTTCATCTTCCATCTTTCCATCCATTCTTCTTGATCCTTCTCTCTGTTCCATCCTCCATGTTTTTCTCTCTCTTCCCTCCACCACTCCCTTCATCGCTCCATCTCGCTCCATCTCTCCACAGACAATCTGCCAGCACTGCGCCCTCCCAGAGTGATCCCTTTAGAGGGCTAATGCTGTGAAAAATGACAGTGAACCGCCACTTTTCCCGCCATCACCACCGCTTTGGGGCCGCCTGCTGCCTTCAGCCCTGTTGCCTGGCAACTCCCCAGACAGCTTCCTTCGGAAAAGCAAGAGCTCCTGTCTGCTGTGCTGCGATAGAGACTCGAGCTTAATAAGCATTATATCTCATTTTGTCTTATCATTTTGTTGTTAGTGACACAAGTTTGCTCGGAGCTGCGACTATGCAAAGAGCACTGATGCAGAATGTGTCTCTCATATTGAATGAACAGAATGATGTGTTGTGATGCGATGTGAAGTGTGAGTTCTCGGAGCAGTGATGTTGTTCGCATAACAGATTGATCAGCCAAAAAACAGAAATATGCAAAAATGAGGACGATGCAGATGATGCAGTGAAGCCGTTCAGTAGAAAACAGCTGAGGTGTTCTGAACCCCTGCTGTTCCCTTGGAAGCAAATGTAAACATACAATTAACATGTCATACTGAAATGTGGTATATACAGTACACCTAAGGACTATAATAAATCATTCCGCATGTTATTCAATACTAGTTTGCCTTCTTAATACAGTGCAAGATAAGTAAGGTTAACTGTATGTAACTACTTTAGATTCAGAGTGTAGCGTCTTGCATAGTCATTTACAGCCAAAATAAGTCTGCAATATTGCATACAGAGTTCCACGTTTAAAAAAAAAAGTGCTTTTTTTCTATAAATATTTAGATGAAGGAGGGAGTGAGGCCGGTCCTTTGGGGGCTTCATCTTCCATGTTACCCCTCTTGTACAGTCCAAAGTGGCAGCAGCTAGCAGAAAATGTGTCTTTATTGTTTCCATTTAATAAAAGAAACTGTATCACTTGCTGCCAAGAGACTTGACCAAACCAGGTCATCTCATGCATAACTTATGATTTTCTTTTGCTCAGTCCCAAGACATCTCCAAGTTTTAAAATAGGTTGGAAATAATTCTTTCATGAAGTGCGTACCTGTAACTGCACGATGAAAAGGCCATGCATGAGTCTCAGACTCCTTTCTCTCCTGTGTGTCAACTAATTGTGGTTTCTTGTAAAAAAAAAAAGAAGAAGAAAAAAGCTTGTCTGTGCGTCATCCCCTGCCCCACTTTGCTGTGTTTCCTGCTTCTTGTTGGCTTTTAAAACAGAAACCCAGCAGTCCTTCACCGTCATGTTAACCAGAATCAAACACCCAGATATTTCCCAGATATGAGTGACGCGAGCCACGCGGTTGCCACGGGAACTCTCAGAAGGGGTTACAAGAGTGCTTTGACAAAGTGTGTGAACTCGCTGCCACCGAAGCAGTCCTCGCTCTTTAATGTGTCGCTGTGTGGAGACTTTGGCAGATGGTGGAAAAGTTGATCTGAGTTGTAGGGGGTTCCGCCTGCTAACGTTGTCTTTTTTGCAAGCGACGTGTGATGTGTGATTGCAAACGTAATCCTTTGAGGGAGGAATGTTGAAGGCGAGAGACGGCAAGTGCAGGCAGGATGACGAACACCGTGAGATGCATTTTCCAAAGCAGAAAAAGAGAAACTGTACTATAGTATGAGACTTCAAGGATAACAAGAAAATATTCGGTTTGGGCCCATTTTAGTTCATTTCTGTTGGATGAATCAGGGCAGTTTTTAAAGCACTAATTTTCCATTTAAAGTGATCATTCTATAGAGAACCACTCATTTAAATCCATCAAGGTCATAGAGGGAAGCTTGAATAGCTACAATTTCCATTAATGTGAGCTGAATGGAGAATATAGGGGTCAAGATGACTAGTGGAGGTGGATTCTTCTCAGCCCCTAGAGGGATGTGTGTTTATAGGTGTATATTTAATAATTATGAGGGCATTCACCAAGAAGGGAATGTGAATACTGATAGAGCCATGAACTGTGACCGCTATCTGCCATGTCTGAAGGTCTGATTCACTTGTAAAGTTTTACAGCTCAGTACAATTTGCCCCCTTTGTGCGGCTGATTGCTAATCTGTGGGGAAAGTTTACAATGGGCACGGATAAAGACAAATCTTTCCTCAAAACTTGACAGAGAAAACTGTATTTGGGATTTATTATCCTAGCCTATCAGTGCTGTCAGTGTTTTCAAAGTCCACCTTTAGACTGCATGAGAAATTAGCATTATTACTGGAAAGTCTGGACTAAATATAGTCATAATTTAACTTTAACTACATCCCGTGGTAGCTTGTGACTGATGTTCGGCATTGTGAATTGAAGTATTTTTGCATGTAAAAAGGGGCCATTTTGTGCCAAATGTCTGCTTATTCCCTAAGTTAAATATGTAGATGCACAGGAGCATCAACATATTATTTGTTGGAAAGCACCGACTGAAACAAGCTAACATTGCATATTCTCTTTCTTCATCTCTCCTCATCCTGCTTTCTCCCTTAAAATACTTTGCTTATGAACTGAATCCAAGTCCAACACCCTACTATAGATGCCTCTACACGCATACACACAAGTACCATCTGCTGAGCCATTAGATATTTCTTACTGTAAATAAGCCTGAACACACACACACACACACACACACACACACACGCACACGCACACGCACACGCACACGCACACGCGCGCACACACACACACACACACACACACACACACACACACACACACACACACACACACCTAGAGAGCAGCATGGCATTATGCCCAGCCTTGCCCCAGGTGTCTCAGCGTTGATATATTGGTGTGGCCTCACATGAATCCATGTAAGGCAAACCAATGCACTTTTTAAAGCTCTGCATAACCGAGAGAGTAGAGGTGACGTGTTTTAGCGTATTAATATCCACCTCAGGTGCTAATTTGCCCCCTAAGTCACATGTGTCATCAGCTGCTGTGAAAGACGAGTGGAAATCAAAAGGAAGCTAAAGAAACACAGAGAAGGCCCAGGATGGAGTGAGACAGAGAAATGACGTGGAAGTGAGAACCATGAATGAAAAGAGGAGGTGTAAATCACATTAATGAATAAGCTTGATTAGTCGTGCCCATTAGGGTCCTCAGCATGGATTAATTTAACTTGAGACTTTGGAGAAGCCCGGCGGCCACGATGGGGCAGAGTTTGATTACACACCTGGGTGTTTGATCACTGACTCCCTTAATGCTGACTAGCAGAGGACAGTCTGTGTACCTTCTGTCTTTGAATGGGAAATGAGAACACCTGCAAAGAGAAAACTAATATCCAACATTTACCTACTGGGGGTTTGTATTTTTCAGCTGCTGGTTTTCTCTGTTGCTTTTATTGCTCCTAAAGAAGAATATGCCTGTTTCGCTGTTACTGTTTGCATGTACGCCAAAATGATGTGATCATCTGTCTATTTTTCTTTCCAAAGACAATTAAAGTCATTTTTGGAAGGTTATACTCAATTATCCTCTTGTCTATCTGTTTGTGTTGTCGACAGGCGGACCCCCAAGGCCGAGACATAGCCATCCGTCCATTCTTGGAGCACTGTGAGAACACCCACATGAGCATTTGGCTGGGCATTGTTTATGCCTACAAGGGACTGCTAATGGTGAGAGGAGCAAACAAAATGTTCATCATCAACTCACAGTTTGGATACACATACAAATGCACTACAAGTTTTATGTACCCTACAAATGCATCTGCTGAGCCTTGAAATTAGCTTGATGCCTTTTAATAGAACACTATTTCTGAAATGTGTAACAATAACAAACCTTAAGTATCTAATTTAAAAACACAGTAAAAATAAAAATACATTTTCCAGCTGTTAATCCTGTGTCCCTTTGTAAATCAGTCATTTATCTCCGGTAACCTGCATAATGTGTCAAACAAAAATAACATGTTTGAGAATTTTCATATAGAAATTCTCTCTTTTGTTTTTCCTATTAAATATGTTTGGTCTTGAACTCTGTAATGGTTACATTAAGTTATTCAAGCAAACAGGATTTCAGTGCTTGAGTGTTAGCTAGTTTAGGTATCTGAAAAATATCTTAGAAGGTGGTTTGTGTATGGATTTAGGATGGCAAAGCATTATTTATAAGCTTTCTTGACTAAATGGATACCTCTCTATTTGCAATTTAATGTATTTAGCCGAAAACCACAAACTGTGAATAAAAAGTCAGTACTCATACTATGATTATGATCTGAGACACAGGGCTCTAGACAAAAAATGTCCATGAAATAAAATAATTTCATACCATATTTACGGCGAGGCGAAGGATTGAGACAGAGCAGTAAATCATTTTGAGAAGATTCAGAGAGTGCAAAGGATGAATACAAATATTACTAAAAATCTTACAGAAAGAGAAATGGAAGGAGTGAGTGGTAGCAAGAAGAAGCACACACACACACACACACACACACACACACACACACACACACACACACACACACACACACACACACACACACACACACACACACACACACACACACACACACACAGGTCCACATATGAATATATACCAGAGCACATCACCCAGCACATTCCCGTATACACACTCACACACCTGAGATCCACTAATCCTTGATGGCTGCTCCTGTAAATCTGCTGCTCGTCATTCCACTAACTCTCATTCAGACTTTAAAATAAGCAGGCAGGCCACTTTAACACACAGTGAATAATTCAGCAGGCCGTGCATGCTGCTGCTGCAACTCTAATGTTCCACCAAACAAACAGTTCACTCTAAATAAACATTTGACAAACATAAAACCGTGCACGGGCTGCTTTAAAAAGATCATCTTTAAGACTCAAATGCTTAATGAAGTACATTTTTGTTTGATTTGTTTTAAATGCTTTTAAAAGCTAAGCCAAATAAGATTGAAAATGTATTCACAACCTGCACTGTTTTATGAAGAACAATGAAAAGCACTGAACAGACAAGAAACAACGAGATGTAATACATCCTGCTTTATCCTGAAACCCCCTGATGTTGAGACTAGCAGAAGAAAAATGATAGAAAACTGCTTCAAACAGTGAGGATGACCAACTCTGTTGACTAACTGTGTGTGCATTGCCCCGGAGAAATGAGTTCAGACTTTCTATAACCAAAATCAAATAGTGCCTTCAGTTTTTTTCTGGTATGTCTGTAACCTTTACTCAAACATCTTTTATTAAAAACAACTTGTCATTCCTCTCTCCTTTCCCTCGCAGTTGTTTGGCTGTTTCTTGGCATGGGAGACCAGGAATGTGAGCATCCCCGCTCTCAATGACAGCAAATACATCGGGATGAGTGTCTACAACGTGGGCATCATGTGCATCATCGGTGCTGCTGTGTCCTTTCTGACCAGGGACCAGCCCAATGTCCAGTTCTGCATCGTGGCCCTGGTGATCATCTTCTGCAGCACCATCACGCTCTGTCTGGTCTTCGTTCCCAAGGTCAGATTTAAGTGTGAACGAGGACAGTGTGTGTATGAGCACTGGTAAAAAATAAAAAAAAAGTCTATATGGCCTGCACTCCCAAGATAATATTCAGATGCTGGTTCCTAAAGTGAGAACAGAACTAGGTAAAACAATCTGTTAAATATGCTGTCTGGAATATTGTACATAAGGAGCTGAAACTGTCAGATTTAATCACCTTGGGGGAATTCAAGTCCATCTTAAAGGACAGAGAACAAGAAACCATTGTTTGATGTGATTGCTCTTATATCACATGATTGAAGTCGTTGAATGAATGCCAGTTTTTTATGTTTTATAACAGTTTCTTTTATTTGCATATTGACTGGTTAATGTGCCAGGTCGCTCTTGAAAAAGAGATATTAATCTCAATGAGACTTTGAGCTGGTTAAATAAAGAATATATATACCGGTGGCTAACTGTGCATTAATCAACACTCTTAACCTCCATGGATCCTAAAAATGCTTTGTATGTCATTTTATACCAGAGTGCAGCTTTGACTGATACCCATAACTTTTTTCTAACAGTTCATCACCATGAGGACCAACCCAGACGCAGCCACCCAGAACCGGAGGTTACAGTTCACCCAGAATCAGAAGAAGGAAGACTCCAAGACCTCCACCTCCGTCACCAGCGTCAACCAGGCCAACACCTCGCGCCTGGATGGCCTTCAGACTGACAACCACCGCCTCCGCATGAAGATAACTGAGGTCTGAGAGCTAACTACACATCCATGTTGTACTTTTTTCTGCCATTTGTCTTCACGGAGTAACACAGGGGTACGGTGCAGAGGGTGTCAAGAGTTTTAAATGCAATATAAAGACCAAGAGGTAGATTTTAAACGTATTTAAAGACACTAAGCACGAGTTCCACAAGAGAGGGGGGAAACATAAATGAATTTAGCTCTACCTAACTTGAAAATGAAAAACTAATCTAGCTTTCCTGTAGCCAGGTAATTTTTTTTTCAAGTATCATTTCGTTCATTCTTAATAGGATGATTGGTGTTCAAAGGAATCACTTCACTAGATTGTGTGGTTGCTGAACGAGGTCGCATTTCCTTCTCTCTTAATTATTTCTTAAATGTTTTCGCTTTTACTGACTTTGAGTGACATTTGAAAAATAATCACCTTGGCTTCCTGTCAGATCTATCAGACTTGAATTAATGGTGTTGTCATTGCTTTTGTTTATGATTGAGGCAAATGGGCTACTCAGACGCTCTTGGAGGACAAGTCAAGTTATTATGCCTTTAGCAGACAGCAGTCATTCGCTCTTTATGCTGTGTTTGAAATGTGAAGAGGTAGTTGATGGAGTTTATTGTCCATAGTTTAGACTTAACTTTGGGTAATATTTGACTGATAACATGCAGCTTACTTGAGCCATGTTTCTATATATAAAGCTGGACAAGGAGCTGGAAGAAGTGACCATGCAGCTGCAGGACACCCCGGAGAAAACCCCCTACATCAAACAGAACCATTACCCTGACGCCAACAACATCCTCAGCATACGCAACTTCACAGACGGAAAAGGTGAGAAATGAGCTGTACTTTTCCTAAATGTGTCTGTGTTTGGGGCGTGGGAATGTAGATTTTGTGGCACCTGAAACGTTGTTTTAAAAGCCTGGATTCACTTATTTTAAAATAGTTTGAATTGCCTGGAAACAGTGTTGATGTGAAGTGGTCCTGAAGCAGCAAACACACTTTACTCTCATTACGTTGTTGCTCTTATCATTACATCAATACAACCCATGTCAAATCCAAGATGGTGTATCATTTCTTCCTCTCTCTGAATGGAGCTGCTCTGCTGGGCTGTGCTCACTGCTGCCACTGGTGGCTGGAAACTAGATTACAGCAATCTGTCTAGACCCAAGATTCAACAAAGAAAGAACAGCCGTATTAAATATGTCAGTCTTGTCTCACTTAAATTCATTGTGATTCAGCCAATCTGATTTAATTAAAAAAATAAATGAATGTGTACAGCTGTGATTAGTTTTCGAGCACCTCAGTCTGTTTCACTTTGAGAGAGACAGTGTTTGTAACGTTTAAATATTCAGTGGCTTAAGTAAAGGATTTTCATTTTGCTCTCAGTGCCGCAGCTTGATGGAATATTGTGACGTTTTCTTCCCATTAGCATGAGCTCCTGTCAGCTGCAGGTGAGGAAGGGACACATGAGGACTCAGTCTGACAGCAAGTCTGTGACGTCTCTTCAGATGAGTCATAGGATTAGCTACCTGCATACTCCACTGATGCTTAGCAAGCTTCATACTGTAGTCACACTTCTCAACTCCACACATTTATTATTAAGCCCAAAGTAGGTCCAAACTTGATTTTGCTTCTTAATATCTCCTTAATATTTGCTGTGTGGGATGTTGTTTTGCTGTGTGTTGAACAATGTGAGAAAACAGTATGAGAGTATTAAATAAGGGAGGAGGGGACAGTTAAATAATCATTTGAGTAACTATGAGGTGCTTAAAGATAGTCAAATCCGTCTTTCTGAGGTAGAGAGAGTTATCATTAACCCCCCCCCCCCTCAGCTGCTGCCCGATGCAGGCTGTTTGAAATGATGCAGCTGTATCTGAGACATCATGGAGACGGGGTCCTCAAATTGAATCAGTGAATGGTTACAGCAGCATCGCTTCGCATTAGGCAGCGTTTTAAGAGAAGATGGTGATGTACAGCAGCCAGCTTCAGCTCGCCTGATGCACACGCTGCACAAAGCCGCTCTCAAGGGTGTCTAATGGATCTGTCTAAGTTTGGGAAGGTAGAAGAGTAAAACAGCTGCGCTCGTTCTGCGGATTGGGAGCACAGCGAGTTGAAATTGTTTGAGAAGTTCCTCATCTGTGAAAGTTCATAGTTATGCAATAAAATCATGGCAGTCTCTCACATTACACACACATGCTTTCACAAAGTCTCTAATGCTTCTTCTTTGTTTTAGTTTCTTCTCTGCTTCCTTCTGTTTCTCTTCTTCTGCCTCTCATCTTTATGTGCACACGCATAAATGCACAACAGGCACACACCCTCCTGTTTTAGCTGTGTATGGTTCCCTTGCACGGATGGATTTAAGCGTGTTGGTGCACAATTGGTTGATGGAGCATCTCATTGTTTTCTTTTAATGAAGCACAGAGCTATAGTCAGTGCCAAGATTATTTTGATAAGTAGACTGTATTTTATTCAACCTTTAAATAATGCTTACCAGAATACTACATCAAATGTAGTGAGATATTACATTTGTCAGTGATTTTAAGATATCTGAAGAAACTGCTCAGTGTTATGGGACCAAGTATTAGGGTTCATGTCCCTTTGAAAAGAAAAGATCATAGATTATATTTTCCTTCATCATATTTGAAAGAAACATTGTGCCGTAATACCTGAAAATATCTCATTCTCACATTGTTCAGAGTAATCTCTTTAAAGTGCTGGCAGTGGCTTGTATCAGGATCTCTTACATTAAAATTGTGTGTGCATTGTGCGGTAGAAATACATCTGTTTAGACTAAATCTTTGTTTCGTCGTTAGGTTGTCAGAAGACACAATCTAATCTGTCTTCTATACATTTTTTAATTTTTTAATATGTTCATATTTACAAACCTTTATTGGGTCAAAAACGCATAACGTTCCACTTCCCACCCGTGGTAGTAAGCAGGAGCAAAGGCCACAGTTTAAATTGGGGCAAAGATATATTAAAAAAACAGGGAGTTCATTTTGGTAGTGCAGACTCTGCACTACCAAAATGAACTCCCTGTTTTTTTAGTACTTAAAGTATAATTTCCCCTCTGAAAGGATTAGACAGCCATCAACTGTTTATTTCCAACACAAAGTAGAGGAAAAGGTAAAAAACATGCAGATTTTGTTGGAGAAATAACACTTTTAATGAGTGAATATTATTAAATAATCCCAATCTGCTTGGGGCGCTGGGATCAGAAACAATGAAGCAACACAAATGGGCTGTCTGATTCATATTCCTGCTCCTGTCATCAAGTGATGTTTTCAAACCGACAGGTAGAAGTAAAACTTAGTAGAGCCTTACAAGCTGTCTCAAAGCGACAATTTCATATTTAACAACAGAATGTCCCAGCTATTACTTTTTTTATTTACAGAGAAATGTAGTAGGTTGTTGAAGTGTGCATGTCAGCGATGAGGAAGATAGAGAAAGAGAGTTCAGACAAAGACAGGTAGCACATTAGCTGCTGCTCGCAAACGTCAATCCTACACACATTATGGAAATGAAATCACAGGTCGTTAAGCCTCCTTTAAAGATCAGCAGCATATAAACTTTTCCCGGCCTCAATCTGCTCGTGCTTGACAGTCATCATCATCATCATCATCATCATCGGCGGCTTTAACTGCAGTCATCAGTATTCATAAGAGAGCTGGTCTAACTGTATTGGGGGGCGTGAATGAGTGGCTGTTATAAGAGAAGAACGCCGTGTCAACAGCGATTACGCTCCCTGAGAAGCAACACTCCACCTCTCTCTCTCTCTCTCTCTCTCTCTCTCTCTCTCTCTCTCTCTCTCTCTCTCTCTCTCTCGTCTCGATCTCCTCGCTCTCTCTCTCTTCTCGCTCTCGTTCTCTCTCTCTCCTCTCGTCTCTCTCTCCCCCACGCTCTCTGGCTGTCCAGTAACTGACAGTTAAAGTGCGTTTTCAGCCGGAGCATTTTGAGGCTGAAGAAAATTATAGAGGTCATGTGATTAAAATAACATTCATCCCCTCGGCTATAAATTTCCATCGAGGAGAGACTTTCTGATTCATACACAATATTTATTGGACATGGTCCCTTTTAGATCAGGGGTTCCCAACCTTTTTTCCGAAGAGCCCCCCCAAACGACTCCTGTTGGAAGTTGCCCCCCCCTCACACACACACAAGGGGGGGATAATCTACAAAATGGAGGAGACCGATCTGATCGGAGCAACTGTGACAAATAATCTGAAACCGGCATGGACAATGACTATGTTTTAAAAATGCGCTTATCCAGAAAAGCCTGGTTTGGACACTTTACGGGCAGAAGAAACATTTCTATTAAAGAAAGAATTATACATTTCTGTCTTTTTATGCCTATAATAGTAGTAGTAATACTAACTTGAATTTTTATTCAAATTAATTAATCAATTATTTTGTATATGTTATTGTAATGTAGAGAGAAGGCTTTTAGTGACAATCATGTCATGCGTTACAATTATATGAAAAAAAAAAAAAAAGTCTAAATATGATATTTGGCCTCAAATCATCTGAGGCCTGGCGCCCCCCCTGCGATCTTTGGCGTGCCCCCCAGGTTGGGAGCCACTGCCTTAGAGGATAGAGATTGGAATAGTCTTTGTATCTTAAGGTGGGAATTGCACTAGAAACTGATGATGGTGATGGTGATGGAAGAGGATGCTGCAGATCTAGATTTGGTGAGAAGTGGACTTTTGATGAACTTAACCTGGTCAGGGATCGAGGTGGATGGAGTGGAGGAGGGTCACCTGAAAATGACAGCTGACGGCGAGAGAGGAGGACAGATTTGAAGTTTGATGGCAGCACAGTGATTGGCTGTGTAAGCTCATGGCAAAATGTGGTTGGTTAACTAACACAGTGATGAGCCTATTAGAGGCAGCTGGGTCAGTGAGAGAGAGAGGAAGAATGTTGAAGCTAGTCTTCCTCATTCAACTTGCGCTGAGCTTAATTTCTTTACATTTTGAACCATTAACTGCAAATCGGCTTATCATTGACACAGGCACACTAAACAGCTGTTAAAGACTTATAGCTTAATATAGTTTAAAGTGGACCTATTATGCTATATAAACATATATTGTAGGGCCATACCTATACAAAACATGTCTGTGAAGTCTTTTGCTTAAAATACCAAACAGATCACCCATTGTAGCCTCATACTGCTCATACCCCTCTTTTGCAGCCCTGTTGCAAACAGGCTGATTCTGCTTTAAGTAAAATGTCACATTTTAGTTTTACTGTCTGCATCCTCATACATGTGAAACAGATTTACCGGGTCATTTACATTATTGATTCTTGTTCCACACATTTGCACATTTAACCCTCCTATTCGGGTCAAATCTGACCGATTTACTACTTTCATCAATCATAACCTTTTTGTTTTACATTCGATTGCATTAAGGCTTTATGATATCCTTCACAGTAGAGATTTGAACATATACAATTGCTGATCACCACTTTCATTGCATTTTGGATGATTTAGTCAACTTTGTAACACCCATGGTGTTCCCGGTCAAAAATGACCGCCATAAAGAAAAGGAATTAGTAACCATCCGGATCAGATAAAACACACACAAACACCCACGCACACACACACACACACACACACACACTCTAAATATGTCCCCCCCCCCTTATGTGCCCAATCCCCCCATGTGAATCACACCTGGCACTCACAAACACACACAGAACAATTTGACACATTTCCCGCTCTTAATTGCCCATCCCCCCACATGGATCACACCTGGCACACGCAATACATGTTCAGTGTCTATTCTTTGTATATTTACTGCAGTTGTTCATGTATACCAGTAGTCTGATACAATATTTACAGTTTGAAATTTGGTGATGATTAATGGTTTTTGTGTTAATGTAATAGCAGTTAAAACAGGACCGGTCAAATTTGACCGCGAACACCAAAGTAAGGGGGGGGAAACAAAGACAATAGGAGGGTTAAACAATTAGTTTTATTGTACAGTTCAATTATTGTGCTGGCCTTGGGGTCTTTATTAATTAAAAAATAAACTCAACAACCTAGTACTTTCTTTGTGGCATGAACACATATTCTGAATGCATAATAAGGTGTATAAATATCTGTGTCTCTGCTTTTAACACAGCTCCGAGTGCTACAAGGTTAGGCTTTTTCAAAATGCGAAGAGGACTAGTCTGCTCAGAAATAGTTCAGTGAGCTCAGATGTCCGGGGTGCGGAGTAGAATCAGGTCAGCAAGTGCTGGGAAATCTGGAACAACTGGAGAGATAGCTCTGTACGGGGGAAAAGATCACCCCATTACTCTCCAGATACAATTTTTGAAAACGAAAAATGCTGTTTACTACACTTCTGATTGTGTTTCAACCTCATCGTCTGGCTCTGCAACATCTGGAGAATGAAGAAATCATGTTAGGAAGCTTTTATTCCATCTCCTCCGCCTTCCTGTCTGGAGAGGAGCTCTGTCTCTTTTCTTTATCACTTTGATGATTTCTTTCTCTTTGTTTCTGTTTCCACTTTTCAGATTTGTGCAACGCAGTGTTATTTTCTACCTGTGCTTTAAATATCCTCCTGCGTTTGATAGATTATGCAATCTGTTTCATTTTGAAGAAAGGAGACAGTTTACAGACAGCTGCAAGAAATTGTGACATATTTTAAGATCACTGTTTTTGACTAACAAACATGTTTTCACACTTCGGCAACCGGCCAAAAGAGTCACGTTGTGTATCTGTATCTAATGAAAATGCAGATCTGGATTGCTACGAAAACATTCATTCATTTGGTAGCCGCATATCGACATGACCTGGATGAAAATATTCATATTGCTTTTTGCATTGCATCAGGATCTAAGTAACAGCGTACAACAAGAAGCCCCTCTCACGCCCATGCCTACCACACCTCCTAAACAGTTAGATTTAAACATGGATCCAGACTCATAGGCTTATCCAACAACTCCCTCAGAGTCTCAGGTGCCTGGTGCGTGTGACTTACAACTCCTGAGCAGTTAACTATGACACCGCCTGCCATGTATTTCACAATTCCCTACATGTGTTTCAATGCAGATGGAGAGAAGTCGATACTGAAGAACCACCTGGAGCAGAAACCTCAGGCTCAGTGGGGCTCCATGGATCCTTCCAGAATAAACAGAGGTCCCCTGGAGGATATCAACTCCCCCGAACAGTGAGCGCTCCTATATCTCCAGCACGTCTCCCCCCCCATCTCCCCTCTCCCCTCTCCCCTCTGTCTTGTCAGCTTTTTCATCAGACTACACGTCACACGTATCGCAACCACCAGCAGCTCTCAGGCGGTTGCTCTGGCAACAGAGGCCTGCGAAAAGCATGAACCGGTCCTGTACTTTTCTCTCCCACGCACATCAACATACATATAACCACATACTCTCCCATCACACTGAGGCATATATACTTACCGTCAAACCCATATAAACATAAACACATGTTGTGATCCAGAGACATGCAGCTGATTGATTTGTTGTCCCAACTTCTAAAAGGAGATGATCTCCATACCAACAAATACTGATTTACTATTTATAAGCAAGCAAAGGTGAGGGATGTTGACTTCATCAATGGGGGGGAACACTTCATGCATCATTGAGAGCTCTCCCTCCCACACTTGCTTAACTAGACTCAGAATGCACAACGTAGAGGGATAAATATGATTAAAATATTGAAGAGAGGGCAGTTACAGGAAGAAGGGCGTTAAGATGGGAAAAGAGGACGAGAGAAAGAAAGAGGTAGAGACTCACAGAGGCTTATGTAACCAGTGATTTACAGCTCGCATTGGAAGCAGCTCTGAAAATAGACAGGGAGGAGAACAGAAGTAAAGGAACACTCGCAGCTATTCCCATGCCGCATAAATGTTTGATCACATGGAGGGAAAAGAGACGAAGAGGCAGGGAGAGAGAAAGGGAAGAGAAAGAAGAGACAAATAAAAAGAAGTGAGAAAAACGGTATGATGAGAGTAAATGTAGAGGAATGATAAAAGTCAAGCACCAGGTGCACCATGTTAAATGTGTTGTCTGTGTCCTATATGATCCATAACTCAATCCTTTATGAGCAAGGAGAATTGGTTTCCCCTCCCAAATAGGACAGGTCAGAATAAGTGAATAGGCCTGAGGACAATTCATATTTCAAAGTTCACCTAATTAAGAAATGTTTCTAGGTCTCTGGAATGAGCTTGGATTCCACCCCCCCCCCCCCTCTCTTAACTCTTTACATAACTGGCATTTGGTTATGTAATTTCCTTGCAAACGGCTGGCAGTGGTGCTAGCTCTGGCGAGGCAGGGTGCGAAGAGTCACAGCAGGCGGAAGCATGAAATGTTCTTTTTGTCAGATGATCCCAGAAGCTGAGAGGCACGGTGGATTAAGGGTTTAGTGAAGAGAAGCGAAGAAAGGAATGAGGGCGCTAAAGAACACAGAAAAAAACAATTAGAAGAAATCCTGAGGGCTCGTGTAAACTACTTCACCTCACTGTTGTGAATCCCACCTTCATCATGTCAGTGTTTCATCTCTGGAGCTGCATGTTTCTACATTAGTACTCACATATACATATATATAGTTCTCTATTATAAAACAACCAATCATTGAGCCTTTTTTCAGGACTCTGCAATAGTTATAATATACTGTGCATTACAGTAGGTAAGTGCTTAGAATTAATGAGCAGGGGGCGTATTGGCGCTGAGTTTTACTACTTTATAGGTAAGGGATGGCATTGGAATTTAAAGTTAATGTTATGTTAAATGTAAATCCAACCCTGAATCCCACATTTTTAAAAAAACAAAACATGTTCAATGCCCTTACTGGAACTTTAGTGCCCATTATGTACAGTAAGTGGGGGGGGGGGGAGTAAGGATGTGCTGGTCAGGATGGTTTACACCAGAATTAATGTTGTCAATTATTGGCAAACGGGCTAGTAAATGTATAATCTTCAAAGTCAACGTTGATCAAAACATTTGAAAATATGGATTAAAAGGAAAAAAACACAAAGAAATGTAATACAAATACACGTGAACTACCGCAAAATTACTTAAGTTAATGTACTTTATCACTCTCTATCTCTTACATTGTATCTTCTTTATTTCCAGCATACAGCGCCGCCTCTCCTTGCAGCTTCCCATCCTGCACCACGCCTACCTGCCCTCCATAGGAGGGGTGGACGCCAGCTGCACCAGCCCCAACGGCAGCCCTGGTTCCAGCCCGCGGCACAGACACATGCCCCCCTCTTACCGGGTGATGGTCTCTGGCCTGTGAGCTTCCTTCACCCCCCCCCCCACCTGGCTCTTTGCAGAGGAGACATATATGGTTCTTTTTTTCTACAACAAATAGACTGATATCATCAGCGTTCGTGCGTATTTTGTCTCGCAACAAGGAGGACTGGGGGAGAAGAGAGGAAGGTGGGGCCGAGTTTCACTCTTCATACTTCTCTTCACCCCCGCCTCTCTTGAGAACTGGAACCCTCAGTCAGGAAGGGGTGGGAGGAGACAGAGTGGGCACTGGATGACACTAACAAACTCCCATGATTCACAGCAATGTCCCCCTTGTTCATCTGCTCCCCTTGTCCAGGCATATTCACATATGCACAGTCAAACACAAACATATATACATATGCACAAACACACTGACCCCCGATCAGAGCAGCGTGGACTCCCTGACCTGTGTGTAGCCTTATCTGCTTCAGAGGGGACCGCCTGTTTCTGCTCCTTATCTGTTGTTCGTATGACTCGTCATCTAACTGAGTATTTCACCGCTTCAGTGACTATGAGAAGACGTGGAATTTACAAAAACCCAACAAAGGAAAATCATCCAATTTACTCCCTGATCCCTTCCCGTTCTTGTGGAGACATGTAAATACTATAATTTCTGACTTTGATGTACTGTAAGCTTTGTATATGCTGTGAATGGACAATTAAAAGGGGTTCTATGTGTAGACCTTGTGAGAGAGGCAGGCAATCATGACAAGGCAACCTACAAAGAAATAGGCTTATGAAAGAGATCTGAATCGGTTTGTGTTACTGTTTATAGATTAGCTTATGGGCAGCAAAGTAAGATACATCTAAACTTGTGAGTCACTGAACAGGAAGAGGCACCAGAGGCCTGTTGCTCTAACACATGGCTCTTTTTTCCCACTTTGCTAAATTTGCACCACTGGTTCCATCAGAGGTTTCACATCAAACTTTACATAGACCTTTCATATTTTAAAATATGCTTAATATGTCCTCGGAAAGCATGTTATACAGAATATTGATGCTTTGCCTTTTAACAGGTCTCCCAGGCTGCATATGTTAGAAAATAGAGCTATGAGGCACTGCAAGAGTGTTCCACAGTTATTATTTATGTGTGTTATATGCCAAGAAATGCACACATTCAGATGAACACTTAAGAGAGCACCTTATTCACTCCGGTGCTTTTCAGACTGGCCTGGTCATATTGACCCCCACAGAGGGGTCTCTATAGACTGTTGGGATGTCCCTCTGATCGAGCCCTCACAGCTAACCAGCACAGACACGGGGGACGGGGTCACGACAAGGAAATACCACTGAAGAAGTGATGCTGGAAAGGATGTAGGTCTACCAGTTCCACAACAAGTTTGGATGAAATGGCTGACCTGAATTTCCACGAGTGGTAGTGAAGACGATGAACGCCCCAAGTCGGTGAAGACACCACTGCTGGTCACAGTGAAAGAGCATAAAGCACAGACACAGGGCTTTCTGTCGTATTGAGTGTCAAGAAAAATCACTTCACACTTAGCAACAGTGAACATACCTCAGTTGCTATGGAGATGTTATTCAGTGCCGTTGAACTGGGCCCAAAAAGGCTGCACTGAGCAAAACAGTCGTCGACACGGTGTCGTCTTTTTTTCTTTTTTGTAAAACTGTCCTCATGCAGGAGAAAAGCAAACAGGGCCTCCGGACAAAAAAAAAAAAAGGACTTTCTATAGAGTGTGAGAAGGTTTGTTCTTAGCATATGTTTCACCATTGGTGTCTTGGTTTTTAGTTTTTAAGGCGTTTGTTGAACGCTGTGCCTGTTGTCTTATTGTAGCCTGCAGGACCCACAGTACATTAACAGGGGGAGACCCAGAGAACTACAACACACATCTGTAAACTGAACAGCGTGTCATAGGTCTATTTAAATTAAATGCCTCAATGCATGGGACAGAGTGGGAGGACTTGGCCAAACTCCACTTCTGCGAGTCGATGTCTGATCAGAAACACTGTCTTCAGCTGTAAGGCAGGATACAGAGTCGGAGTGAAGCTGGCAGACGTCCACCTGCTGTCGGACATATCAGGGTGACTTCCCCTCAGAGCTCCTCCCCTTCCAGCCCCTGCTGAGCACAGGAGCAGGGAAACCCCGAGCACAGACCTCCCAGGAGTCACGGCTTCTCCCGCACCTTTGCCAACAGAGAATCACGAGTCACTTGAGAAGCGAGTGCGAGACATTGTCAGAGGGTTGGATCTTCCTACGGGAGAAGAAAACCCAACTGCACATTTTATATATTACATTATATGTGATTGTGTACAATTTGCTGATACCCCGATGATGGTGTCCATGTATGGAATATTTGGTATTTGGCTTTCTCAAGACGGCATGAAATGAAATGTATAATTCACAGAGGTAACTCTGTTTTTTGAAAACTGTCGTGACAAATCCACTCTGTCGTTTCATCCTCTCACCTACGATTTGGATTTTTAAGTTAACCTGTTGATCAGCTCACACGTGTCAATGCCAAGATTCTCAGTGGACAAACTCGACATCATATCGACTATGCTACTGGTTTAGCAGTTATTCACTGAGGGCAATAAAGTGAAAGTAGTAGCAAACGATCAATCCTAATAACCCACTCCTGGCATTTACCAAAATTACAAAATGACGTTTTTTTTAGTCCATCTAAAATGCCAAATGCAGATCATCAGGTATTGTTCTGTTTTCTGTTATATGTGCCCTGGTTTTTTGCTTCTTCTTTTATTAAGATTCATTTCCAACTTTTTTTCAACATTGATGAAAAATCGTTCAAATGCAATCGTGGTAGGTCAAGGGCTCATCATTTCCTGTAATGAATCATGACGATGGTTTGTATTTGCTACAGGTCTTTTTACCTTTTCAGTTTTCAGAACCAAGTGACATATATACGTATTTAATTATATCTTTGTATGTGTCATCATCAGGGTTTCTGGAGAACACGAAACATACATGTCCAAAAATATAACAATATGACGTATATATTTAGTGGAAAAACACACAGGTCCATACTGTTACTGTTTTGTCAGTTTGATATGTGGTATCACATGGAGTTCAGTTCAGATAAAAAGTTTAAAACAGAAAAACAAAAACCTACGTTAAATGCAAGAGGGGCAATAATTGTTTTCTTATTACAGAAAGAATAGAGAACTATATATATGTATATGTGAAAAGATATTTACGTACATTCTCATTTTTACATAGGAAATATTTCACGAATACGCCACAAGGATACTTGGAAGTTGTTTTTTTAATTTACAGTATCTGTAACTATGTTATGTACAGATGAGGTATAGATATGAAAAAGTTGTATAAAATAAGTATCACACTTGGAACACCTGAACATTTTTTTTTTGGAGCCATTAGTTGTTGGGGGCGGGAGGGGGGGGGGGGTTTGAATAACATTCTTCTTTTATTGTCTGAATGTTATGGACAGCCTTTACTTTTCACATCATCGTTAAATAAAGTGAGACTGAAAATAATTGTTGATGTTTTAGAATCATTGCTGCGCTTCTCCAAAGTATATTTGCATTTATATTGTTGATTTAACGGCTATTAGCAAACTAGTCCACAATCTTTAGGGTTCCTAAAGGTCAAATCTTTCTTTGAAGTTTATCATGTTTTTGCTGACTGCTGAAATACTTTTTTTGGTTTTTACTTTAAGCTAATTATTTTTTTTTTTTTTTCACTCCCTTTAAACCCTTCCAAAACCCTAACCTGGCGCACCGTGCGAACCCACCCTTAAAGATCTAATGTGACAAAAATGTGCCTCTTTATTCCCCTTCCACTGAGTTCAATGTGTGTCAGGTGAGATGAAACATGTTTTGCCATTAATTAATAAAAGCTCAAATTAAAATGCTACGCTTAGCAATCCCATTTCCATATCATCTGAATGTTTTCATTTTAACAGACACATTTCATGCAAGACGGAAAAATGTATGAAGTGCGAATGGATATTTGTAAAATATGTAACAAAGATAATCACTTTTGCTATGACTAATTAGCTGAGCAATAGTTGTTTTACCTGTCCACCAAATATAAAGCCGCCTCTATGTGAATATTAATGTCTTACAGTTTGAATTTCCCTAGATTACCTTTCATTTTTTTATTAAATATGAAATCTTGGCCGTTTAAACAGTCTTGTACCAGTAGGAAAAGTGTTACAAAATGGATATCAGCCATCATTAATTTTGGGATTTTCCTCTGGAGATGCTTCAAAATGTCTGTTCTGATGAGTACAACCACTGACAGACAGAAACATAACCAAATGAATTAGAATTTGTGTTAATGTGAATCTCCCTGCTATGTATCTACAGTGTGGGAAGAAACGGCAATAATGACTTTAATGTGTAGTGAGGCTTGCCAGGGACTTGAGGTAAGACCTAACCCTTTTAAAAAGCAAGACAGAGCTTTTTTTAGACATTAGAAATATGCAACCGTCAAGTCAAAAATCTTGTTGATCCCACCCTCTAAAAAAGGAGAAATAAAAATGGAGGCATGGGCACCCTTGTGATTCCCTAGCCAGTCAACATTGAGGATGTTAATTGGCACACCAACAGGAGCACAGCAGGCTCACACTGCCCTCACACGCTGCAAAGGAAAAATACATTTGCAATGAAAAGCCTTGCAAGTGGAGGTCGATAAATAATTTAAAAGTAAGGAGGAACTCAGTGGCAAACAGGATGGAGGCGAGAGTGTTACTGAAAGTGTCACTGTGTGTTTGCATCCAGCGTTCGGGTGTCATTCATATCTGGTGTGAGTGTTGTCAGAGCTTTTCTTCATCCTCACTCTCAAATATTTAGCATGTGGATGCTAGACGTGGTTGCAAACCGAGTTCCTCTTGGAGCCGCAGAAGAGCAGCTGGCTGACGTATTCCTCCACTGTGAGTAACATCAACTGAAATATACTGAGTGTTGTCCCGCAGAAGGGCTTTCTTACAAATCAAATAGCTAAAGTAGTAGTATTGTGATTTGAAGGGGTGTCCTCCATTATCATCTGGCCGGGGACAACAGCTGGAAATTAGCAATGTTGGCTAAAGCTGCCCAATTTACTGTTTTTTGTGACAGTTGATCAATGGGGACTGTCCACGACACTATAAACAAATAAACTAAACTAAACCAGAAGCTGTACACCTGAGGCCTGTACTACGAATCCAGTTCAACATACCCTGGATATGTTTGAGTTACCCGGTTTACCTAATCCAAAACAAACGCGTTCTCGCTAAGCGGTCCTACGATGCTGGTTATCAACTCGGTAACTCAAGCCCGGTGTGCCCTATCTAGTTATGTGCGCGTTCACATGAAAGGGGCGGGGCTAGCAACATTTGACCAATCACAAACATGGAGAAGCGTACTGACAGCGCAGCGCGTCATACTTCCTGAATGAAAAGTGAACTATAATATTAGACAAATATGAAGACTTTAAACATCCATGACTTAAACACTTTATCCAGGATAAAAGCCATATAGTTGCACCTGCAAGGTGAATACAGCTGGTAAAAGAAAAAGGGTTTGAATGCGTACATTAACAGGTTTATGATATCACTGCCCCGTTAAGACACAAGTGGATCTGACTTTAATTACATTTGACTCGAGTGTTTCGTCAACTTAAAGGTAGGGTAGGTAAGAATGGAGAAACCAGCTCGAGTGCGCTAGAATTTGAAAGTACGCAGCCGAAAAAAATCTGCCCCTTCCTTCAGACTTCCTTACAGAGCCCCTCCTCCAACACACACGAACGCACACATGACCAATGAGGGCACGAGATGAGTTTTTGCACTATAGATGGAAGGCTGACAGGCAGGTAGGCCATCAGGCAGGTCATGCTTTTTACAGCGCCATGGCTTCCACAGATGACATTTTTGTATGTATTTATTGTCAAAGCATTTAATGTATTCATTGCTATCGGGATGTTAAGAGCATTCCATGGAATATAACAAAAAGTGTATCTGAAGTGAATTACCTACCCTACCTTTAACTTGTGGCAGATATTTAAGTAAGCTTTCTTAACGTTTCCTGCAACAGCAGTTTTTCTGTATTTCCTCTATCCTGTAATATGACTTGATAGCTTTAAACTCCACACACGGAGCTCTGATTGGTCAGCAGGCGGTGCTTTCACTGAGTTGATCTCTTATCCTGGAACCAAACCTGCTCCGGAGCAGGTTAGCCGTTCAGCATAAGTTACCATGGAGATCTAGCCCGGTAAGAAGAGAACCAGCGTCGTAGGACCGGAAACCCAGAGTTTTCCCTGAAGTTAGCTCGCTAAGCGAAAATCCGGCTTCGTAGTACAGGCCTCTGGCAGAGGCATTTTTCCCCAATCAGGATCCTGACACTGTTAAAACATTTCAAGAAAGTCTCCTTTTTGAAATATTGTAGCGACCCTGTATAGGCTGCTGGGTGTGTCACTCAAGCATCCCCCGTCTCTCTGCCAATCACAGAGCTGCACAGTAATGCTGGTCGGTGTGCTGGCCTGTGGTCGGGGGAGCAGAGGGGGGAGGGCTGGGGAGTTGTGACGTTGACCCGGCTTGTGTGTGTGAGTTAGGGAGTGGAGTACTGAGTGATGTTGAACCTGCGACCTGTAACCTATGACCTATATCTGTATGCGATCAAAGGAGTTATTAAACCTAATAACTGGAAGCCTGTTTCCGACTCCTATTGTCGAACGTTACAATATAAAGCATGAGTAAATGATTCACTGATTATTCATGTTGTTTGAAATATGACTTACCAATGTTTTTTTCGAAGCTAGTTTTTTGGTTTTCCGCCTCCGCCATAACACAATGATGATGAATGGTATTCTGTTAGGGGTGCACACAGCTTCTTCAAAATTCTCATAAAATATTCAGCAGCAACTTGTGTTTCAAGATGTGTGTTTCAACCCAGAGACCTCCCAATAAACAATTTGAATATGAAATATATTCTACTGATGAGAAAGTCTGTAAGGAATCGTTTGGTTTTGCTGTTCGTTTTTTACAGAAATGACCGATTTAAAAAAAGAATTATCAGTGTAGCAGAACTTTGTCTGTCCACAACTTTAAAATGCCAGGTAAAAAAAACAATATTATAATAAATATATTCGGGAATCTCAAACTAGACACAAAAAGGAATATTATCTGCATGGATAGATACCATTTCATACAACCTATGCTTTATCATTGGGGAAAGATGAGTCTTTAAAGTGGCTATAACATATATACAAATATTTATGTGTAAATTGACAATGGGACGATTTGAAAGGGTTGCTCTGTATGACCTTGCAGGACGACTGATGACCTTGTGATGGCTGTAATGTTGTTCATACGTCTCAGTGGGGAATCAAGTGAACTGAAGCTCCAGTAAATCCAGTATTCCTCTCCTGCTGCCTTCTGATTCAGAGATAGTCACAGATCTTGCCGAGCTTCTTCAGCGGAGAAACTCTCGGGGGGTGTGTGTGTGTGTGTGTGTGTGTGTGTGTGTGTGTGTGTGCGTGTGCGTGTGCGTGTGCGTGTGTGTGTGTGTGTGTGTGTGTGTAAATGCTGCATGACCTTCTCTCGTGTCTCGGCGGGATCATGCTGTTCAAATGGAGGCGGATTGATTAAGTTGACCTGAGTGTCGGTGGAAGGGAAGCGTTTCCTCCTTCACATGGAACGGCTCCATTGGAGAAATGAAGGCTCGATCTGAGACATCAACGGCAAATACACAAAACAGAGATAATCCAGTGTATCCAACTCGTGCCCACGTGCACATAGCTGGCTGCATTGAGGAGAAAAAAACACATACCATTTCATATGAGCGTCTATGATTGTTTTTATGTCACAGTTACTTTGTTTATGATAGTGTAAGAACACAACAACTATTTAAGGTCTCTGATTGCAACCAAATGTGCACACAAAATTGTCCTCTTAAGTAGTATCAACAAAAAATGTCTTGCATTGA